AAAAGAGAGACTGAGGGTTTTTTTATTTTTCCTGAAGGTGTCAATGGATGATTGCCCGATAATAGGCAATTGTTGTATTCTTTTCGAAAATTCTCTTTAAATGGTTTATTAACCACCACATCCAAGACTTGCAACTGAGAATTCAATTGGAATTCAATGCCTCAATTTTTTCCTTAATACTTGTCGTAAGGTGGCCTCGAAATGCATAAAGGACTACTAGCATGGAGCGGGAGTTTCTCAGAGAACCTTGCTGTTTCCCCCATATCACATTCAACCAGTCTAATACCAACTCCTCTGTCATCCAACCTTTTTCTTGGACTCGAAAAACAATTCCTGGACACAGCTTTTCTTTGGGCATTGTTTTACATTTCAATATAACGTAAGGTTGAAGCTTTTGTCCGTCAGCAGTAACAGCAAGCATAACAGTAATTCTGGACTTTTCATAACCAGCTGACTTCAATAAGACCGTTTTTCACCTGTCTTATTTACTGTAAGGTCGGAAGGCATGTCAAAATAGTCTGGTGTTTGGTCTGAATTTCCCATATTTTCAAGACTGTACTTGTGCTTTTTGCGTAATGATATAACATGGCGCTGACAAGCCAACAATTTTTCATTAAAGTCGTCAGGAAGTTTTTGCGCAAGAGTTGTCCGTCGTCGTAGTGATAAACCGTTTCTTTTCATCATTCTTCTACACCAACCCATACTTGCCTTAAAGTCCTTTCTAGGAATGTTTAAATTAGCAGCCTCTTCTAACGCTTTAAATCTTATGACTTCACTGGATATTGGGCACCCTTCATTTCGCTTTTCTATTACGAATTTTAACACTTGCTGCTCAACTTCATTAAACCTTCCTTTTTTAGGTCCACTAAAAGATTTTCTTGAAGAATTTGCATTCTTTGTTTGCAACCATAATTTTAAAATTTATACCGTAGGTTCTCCTGGTACCTTTATTTATTTGACTCTTTGATGAGCCTTTTTTCTCAACACTACCTTTATTACTCGCACTCATGTNTGAGGTTGGTGCTCTGTAAAGCGCATGCGCAAATCTGGCTTTTCGTAATCTGAAAATACAGGAGATTACACTCCGGCACTAATATTCTAATATACAATAGCAATTTTTTTTTTGTTTTTTCCACGTGTAGTATAGAAATTTGTAATAAGATACATAATGCGGTTATAATAAAATGTGCGATTATTTTCATATAATTAAAATTAATATTTATTTATTTTTTAGAGAATACGAGGGAAGTGGCGCTTCCAACGCTTCTAATGACGGCACGCCACTGATTAAGACTATATCAGTGATTTTGAAAACTATGTATTTAATTTTCTTTCTGTTGAGACAAATTATTGTTAATTAAAATGGAAATTTCGGAAGAATCGACAATAACTTAACACACATAAAGTATGAAACTTCCTTTAATTATGTCATTGGGCACACGCGGCCGGACGGCCGAGCGATGAAGGTGGCAGCCTTCCGCTCTGGGGGACCCGGGTTCGAATACGAACGGGTCGGAAAATCTTCAGGAATTTTTCGGGGGTGGTCCGTTCGGATATTTCGGACCCCACCCGACAGCCCCATTGTGGGTCTGTCGTGGCAGCGGAAAAAAATGGAAGGTACAAGGGTATAGTTATATGAGAGAAAAAAAATTAATAAAATTAGCGCACAGTTTTTTTTATTCTTTCTACTCTGTGGGCACTAAGAGGGTCCATTATAGCAGGCGCATTATGGGTTCGGCCAGGCCCACAATGGGGCGACCGGGTGGTGAGGGACGGGCCCCCCCGAAAAATTCCTGGGGATCCATTGGCCCGTCCGGATTCAATCCCGGGTCCCACAGAGCGGTAGGCTGCCACCTTGGCCACTTGGCCATCCAGTCTAAATTAGCACAGATAGTGGCAGTGACATTTCCTATTCGGCCAGAATTTTTACATATGTGTGTTCTGGCATAAAAGAGTAAAACAGAAACTGAACCGAAAGCTGATTTCTGACTCAGTTTTCTGCCATACAATTTTACGCATGTGTTCTTGGCTTTATCAGAGTCGGTCGACTCTGGCTTTACCCATTACATATCCTTTTTTTCTATAGCTCATAAAATACAGCTGGGTTTCGGGATTGAAAGATTGGGTTACATGTAACAGATTGAAATATTTGAAGGCTAATCATTTGGGCGACTACCATTTTTGGGACACTAAAAATAATTTGGGCTACATTTCGAAAAACTCTGCTTTACTTTTTTTTAACAAACCTATCTGGCGACCTGAGGTTCTGACTGGACACTTCCTGTTTACCTTCACATTTATACATTATTATTATTAATTTTAATTAATTAACGAAAATAGGTGTTATATATAGGTATCCATACTCCGTTTGCTTAATAAATTAAGTTACATCAGTTACATGCTATTTGGTATATTGTAAAGATGTAAATCTTGGATAATTCGAACCCACAGTTATTTCGTCCCTTGAATTCTGAACTAACGAGGATTCCTTGTATTGATAATATTCTGATGTTTTAAATAAAATTATAGTGCAAAATTTTAATATTTAAGGAATAAAATTTTTTTTTAATCTAACAAAAATTATTTAAATATGACACAATTTTGAACAAATTGTTTGATTAAAATTTTATTATTGCTCCTGGAATGAGATGAGATGAAATACATTGTAAAATATTAACCATATAATTAAATAAAAAACTCAAAGATCAAATAATTTTTTTATATATACTGTACTGTAATTGTCTGAATAACACCTAAACTTTGACCAATTGCAAATATATCACTTTAAAGAACATCTTATACATGAGTAACTTCATAAACATTACAATTTAGATTATACAATAGTCTAAATCAGGAATGCACAGGGATGGCCAGATGGCTGAGGTGGTTAAGGCATCAGGTTACCATTTTGGGAGACCTGGAATTAAATCTGGGTGATTAACCCCAGGAATTTTTCATAAGCAGTCTATCCTAGATATGTTGGGCCTCATCCCTCACCACCTGGTTGCTCCCATTGTGGGCCTGGCTGAATCAACTATAGATATGGAAAAAGTCCTTAGTGCCCAAGGCACTGAGAGGGAAAAAAACCACAGGTGCACAACATGCAGCTTACAATCTTCATATGCTCATGACCTGCTGTTTTATTTTGGTAAGTTTAATCAAATAGTCATAGATGCATTGGTATTATTTTAATTTAAATCAATTTGAGTTCAACATAAGTTCATACGCTTGGATTTTCATATAAATAATTGTTTGATATTTACTTGAGTGCATTTTTATCATCACACTCCTGGTTGTTTAAATACAAGTTAAGGTAATGCAGCTCTTAAGTTGTGCACCTCTGGTATAAATCTTAATGTTGTATTGGATATTAATATTTGCATTAAGTACAAATTGCTAATTAGATGCAACATTGAATACAAGATAGAAACACAAAGAACATTGACTATAATATACAAGTATCCCTTGTTTAACATGGGAGTTGATTAAAGCATGAAATTAATTGTGGCAATCCCTTTATATATGTGGCAGAAGTTTTAATTAATGTAGCTTTACCAGCTGTATTTACTTAACAGGGATGCCGTATTTGATTAACACAATTTTGATATATACAGTAGCTTTGGGGGATTAATTAACTGCGTTAATCAAGGAATATCTGTAATAGGGTAAATATAAACGACAAATCTAATCTGTTTATATATATATTTATATGTACATACAAGCTGAGGTGGTTATAACATCAAATAGATAAATAATAAAATAATTTACAATTTCAGTTAATTTTTAGAACATTAATTACTTTATATCCATTTAAATATACTAATTACACTTATTAAATATTTTAAAAATTCATTAAAATAAAATTGTTATTACCTGTCATTATATTTTTTATGTATATGTATATATGTAATTAAAATATATATACAGAATATATTACATATTATACAGCAAATACACTTAGTAGTTTTATTAAAATGTTCATTCATGCACAATTCAGATATCACAGATATATTAAAATAATTTTAATTTAATTTGCAAATACATAAAAATATTAACATTAACTCAAAATTACAAATTAAATTTTGAAAACATCCATTATCATCTCATTGTTATGTATAGATCTACAAAATTATCAACAATACTTTTAAAATATTACAAATAAATCTATAAACATGTAAAATCAAACTTTCAAGCAAGAAGTGTTTTATTTATCATCATCTCTATTCTGCAATTAATTTAAATGTTTCAATGATATGTAAATATGTCTGTATATATATTTCAGACAAAATATAACATAAAATTAGTTATGTTATATTTTAACATAACTAATTTTATGTTAAAATAAAATAAGATTGACAGAAACTATTTTATAAAGATAGAGAAAATTAATGCAACTAAATTAATTTAAAGAATATCTAAATTTTCTCCAATTTAACATCTCTAGAAATGAAATAATACTGATTGTACTAGTTTAATTTAAAATCATATAACTTATTAATAATCAAATTGCATACACTTAACTTAAAGATATTTACATATGTAATAATTACTACTATTCTCAATGTCATATTTTACTGGCTAATCCCTCTATAAAAATTTTATCTTTGTCTAATTTAAAAATATTTCTTTCAATTATTCATAAACATAAGTTTTATATTAGTTATGTAAAAATAAATAATTGTTGCATATAAAAATATATAATGATTCACCTTTTATATGATAATTTTGCAGACTTGTTTGTTTTGTACATGCATTTTATACATATTTAAAACATGTTATATCAATAATTTCATACTTAAATTAAAGACTGAAATTATTAAATATTCCTTCTTTTATTTTCAAACATAATTAAGTAGGTTATAGTTTATATAGCCTATAGTTTATATTAAAGTTATGTTTTAAAATAATAAAATATTTTTGACTTGTTAAAATTTACTCTAGTAGAGATTATAAAATAAATAAAAAAAAAAACAACAGATCTATAAATACATAGAAATATATTTAAAATAAATGCAATTTTGAAATTTTTACATATGATAAGTTTCAAATCACTTCTTCAGTAATATCAAGAAGAGCAAATGATAAAACTACTAGTAATTTCTAATTAATCTGAATATAATATTTTAAAAAAGCTTTCAAACATTACATGCATACCAGGTTACTAAAGATGTAAAATAATAATACATAAAAAGTAGTGTCAGGACTAATAAAAAAAAGTCACATCATTCTTGATTTATTGTAAAATAAGTAAGCTAACAATTTCATCTACTGAAATAAATCATAAATGTAATATTTCAGATCTATTGGTGACATTTTAGATAAATTACTTGAAATTTATATAATTTCAAGTAATTTATAATATATATTAAAGTTTAGATTTTTGTTAAAACCTAAATGTCAGATAAATTAACAGTGTATAGTAAGTATATAATTACAAAGATTTAGATATATTTTCATCATTTATAAATAACTGTAATTCAGATTTTGGAATCTCTCCTGTGTAAACTTCCTTAATAGTTTCATATGAGTCCATTATAACTGATATAAAAAGAGAAATAACAACATAAATAAAGAGACTGATAAAAAGATAAAGATAAAAACGACTAAACCACCAGATTAATGAATTTTGTGTGTTGATAATAGCAAATGTTGCAAATAAATCATCACCATTCATCATAGAAAAAAGACATTCTGAAGTACTGCTGAGAGATTGAAATTTAATATGGTAAGGACCTAATACTAACCAACCACAGAAACAAAATCCACTATATAAAAGAATAGCACAAAGCATAAAGCGCATTACATTTGGCAAAGCACGTTTAATAGTTAGGATTAAAATGTTATATTTTTTGAAAAATCCTAAATAACGTAATACTCCAGCCCATACAAGTAAATTACCAGTTCCAAGAAAAATGGAACAATTATCATACTGATCTCCTTCTATTGTTTTATGTTCAAGTTCTATTTTAATAGCAGATCCTATTATTATTAGAATATCATTTATAATTATCATAACATACCATAAATCAATAAACTGAACCTGTTCTTCAAAAGGTAGAGTTTTTCCATAACATCTATTAAAACACTGAACTATTTTTCTTCTCAAAATTTGTGCCCTATAAAGAGAACGGACACACAAAATCAATGACAACACACAAACAATTATAACAATTGCATTCAACAGCTGTCTAAATACATATATGTATTTATAATCATTATTTTTGACATTAAGATGACAATCTCTTTTTACTGCAGACGTATCAAGCGAAACAACCATTTGTCCATCATGTTTACTATTATCATAATTAATGAATATATGTAGTTTATAACAGTCCGGAACTTCAGATATGCTTGCCGGTTTTAGATAAATTGCCTTCAGGGAGAAATTTAACTTAACATTTAACAAACAATCAAAATTGATAGAAAAATTTTTCTCCTTAATAAACTTCTCTATCGAGAATGTGTGCCATCGAGGATCACCCGCAGGATAAATCGGTAAGATTTCTAAACACAACTGTTCCGTACTCGTGTCAATGACGGCACTCGAATTGAACGACCATATCTCACAACTCTGATACTGAATTTTACATAATGTAATCGAAGAAATTTCATCATTATCTGTGTCATATCTGAACGATCCTACGGATGACAGATTAATTGACGAATGTTTATCGATCACAAAATTGATACTGTCAAAGAATTCGGATTTAGTATAAACTGCATATGCACCAAACGACGGTGGATAAACAACATTATCTCTTCCAGCTTTCCAATCTTTAAGGAATATGTGACGAAACGACACTTCTGTATTATACTTTTGTAGTTCGTATTTATAATTATCACTTCCAAATAATCCTAGTTGTACAGTAATGATGATGATCTTGACAACTTGTAAACCTAACTTCCACGGAATTTTTCCTTTCGTCCTCCATTTTTCAATTGGATTCATTAAAAAGTATTTTAATTTATTTTTTAATTTGTTTTGTACCTGCTGATAAACAACATCACTTGATTCAGTTTGTGAACTAATAAATGTTTGTGGATTGTTTGAACCGTACGAACAGCGATGATTTTCCTGATCGTCTAATAAACGTGACGATTCGTTCATTTTTACAATATAATAAGAAATACGTACGTTTAGAGATAAACAAAATAACCCATTATTTACAACATACGCAAACTCCAGCGTTACACATCCATTGTTTCTATTTATAGCAAAAACATGGCGTATCTGAAAAGCGCTCTCTACTTCTTTTGTTCAGTTTTCATAAGAACAAAAATTAAAATAATAGTAAATTTATGGCTNTGACACATTAACTGTATTGTAGAGAAGTGGTATCCAAACTTTTTCGATCGCATACACATAAGATGAAAATAATTATAAGTTGTATCTCCAATAATATAATATAATATATATATAAAGAACTTTAGAGTTGGCAGCTACGACATATATATTCGACGGCCGGATGCGCCGGATGGCCGAGCATTGGTCAAGGTGACCGCCTTCTCTGTACCCTTTGATCAGTCCGTCAAATATGGCGGTTTTGTAACCCAAAGTTGTTGCAACCGTTTTAATTCTATTAATCTCCTTGAGACGGTCCTGCACATTGGTACAATACCGCTATAATTGAAGGACTGATCAAAGGGTACAGACAAAATAAAGGCAAAAGTTACTAACTCAAAAGGAATTAACAAATTCACATACAATAAGCGTTTAGGAAGTGTGGTTAATGAGTTAGTTTCTTATAAAAACTCGAGAATGGTTTATAAAAGAGCACCCAATATATATAGCTTACTATGGAACGATAAAGACAACGTAAAAAAGGAAGAGAAAGCCTGGGTATATAAAATATCATTTGAAAACCAACAATTAGGTATGGAAAAAGATTATGTGGACGTGACTAGTATTTATGTTCTCGAAGACGTACCGCCTTCGAGAACATAAATACAACGTTGACAAAGGACAAAACAACACAATATTAGAGAGGTTGAGGCACAAGTTCAAACGTTAAACTTGTACGGCAAGCAGAAGTACACGTTTGACGTTTCAAGTCCAAGTAAAAATCGTTGAGGCGCCCGTTCATAACATCACGTGACTCGGTGAACATCGCGCATTGACTCGCGGGAAATAAGTTGAAAAAACGGCGGATACATGTTGCGTGGAGGATTACCAGCAAAGGTAAATAAACAAATTAATCTGTTTAAAACTATTTATAGGATGTTTAATAACACGAAATAATAATTTTTTTTACTATAATTAGTGTCGTGTTTTCTCCGAGAAACATTAGGAAAGTTCCAATGCGTTTTCTTGTTATCACGACTTACTTCTGTTGAGAGAAGTAGTGGCTGTAAATCCCTATGCGTATGAAAATCCGAAAGGTGCATGGAAAAGTATATCTGAAAATTTACGGGCGTTTTACACCGTCGACGGTAGAAGATGCCGGGAAACAACAACTTTACTTCTACAGTATTATGACAAGGTAGTAGACGGTCATGTTGCCTCCCATATATATAGTATACTAGCTTACCCGTCGCGCATTGCTGCAATCTCAGAAGAAAGGAAATTCAAGCAAACTCGTTATGATAAAATTCAATTTACATTTTATTATTTTTATTGAAACTTATTATTATTATTCATTTTCATCGGAAAAACATTTCAAAGTGTCGTTTCAATTCTATTTATTTATTGGAGTGTTTGTGNAGCATAATGCCTCACAGAAAAGCAAACTTAGGGCGTCATACTCGTAGCGCCATCTGTTGGACATAAAAGCCTTAACCTAGATTATATCTTTTAATTTAATTCATATGAATGTTTAATGGAATAATATACAGCCTATGTCCACCATGAAGTTCCATTCTAAATATTGGTGAAAGAATTTTTGAAATCGGATGAGTAGTTTCAGAGATTACCTGCTGCATACAAACTTACATACAAACATTACCTCTTTATAATATTAGTATAGATATAGATTATGAAAGTATAGTAACGAATAATCGTATATAAAAATATTAATCGAATCAAAATTATTTAAAACATTATTAATTGTTTTTTTTAAATTAAATAACTTTTTTTTAAAACTCTTTTCTCTCTGTGGGTACTAAGAGGACCTTTTTTAGGAGTTTGGAAAAGATCACAATAGGGCGGCCGGGTGGTGAGAGAAGATTGCCGAGGTGGTAAAGACATCGGCCATCTTCGGCCTAATCCGATCAGTGAACCAGAGGAATTTATCATAGGTGGTTTGTATTATAGACTCTGTAGATTGTTGTCGAACTCATCTCTCATCAATTGCAATCTATCAGAACCACGTATACAAAGTAGCTCCTCTTATTCCTCGTTAGCACCAAAGAAAAACGCATTATAGAACCTGTTTCTCTCTCTCTCTCTCTCTCTCTCTCTTACACACATACACACACTATATATATATATGCATTCAACAAAGAAAAAAAATCATTAAATCAAGATGTTAGACTTCAAGGAAGTCACAAGATATGGCTATTGGTTTCATCATAGATGGTGTTGCAATCGGTGAAAACATGTCAACTTCGTTTTCTTTTTGTATTGCACATTATGATTCTACATTAAAAACAAAGTTTTATCTAAAACATTTTTTCGAAAGATGTCCTTATCAGAAGTTCTGAGCGTTTGAAGTTTTGTGCAGCCCTCCATACCATACACGCATGAATCTGTGAATATCTATAACGTTCACCGAGCAAAGAAAATGCTAAAAAAAATCATTAGGAAACTATTATTATTTGATGGATTATTTTTTTTCTTCAAATAGTGCCACTGCATGTTAGTCATTAAGCTTGTAATAAAGAGATATTGATATCGATTTCAACAAATAATAACGATTTTTTAAGCATTTTTCTTCTTTTTTTCAATGAACTTCACAGATATTCATTCATGCGTACATGGTGTGGTTGCTGCATTAAACTTCAAACGCTCATAATTTCTGGTAAGTGCATTTTTCGAAAACGTGCTTTAGATAAACGTTCGTTTTTGATGTAGAATCATAATGTGCAATAAGAAAAATGAGGATTCCCATTTAAGAAAATAAAGTTTATTCCGTTTCCAGAGATTGTAGCAGCGTCTATGATGAAACTGATATCCCCATTTTGTGGCGTACTTTTTTGAATTAGGATGCGTACCTTTTTGAATTAGTCCAGTGGACTGATTAAAATGGATCACAAGTATACATGTTTTGATCAATGGTGTGGAACGTAAAATGATGTCTTTGACTAAAGGTTTATGTCAATGTCCAAACACATTAAGCATTCACGTCTTTCATAAAATATGTTTTTTCAGGCAAATACTGTTGACAATGACCTGGCATTGATATGAATGGTAGTCAATCATTGGTCGTTGTTGAGTACAGTATTAATATGACGAATTGTTTTTTATGGTTCAGTTTTTTCTATAGCATCACAGACCTATGATTAAGGATATTTATTTATTTATAGAGCACAGGCATGCACAATATGTTTAGTATTGTTTTTTTAGACCTTTCGGGTCCTGACATTAAAAAAAATGAATGAATGTAGCCTAAGTGGGGCATAAACTCTAGTGTAAGAGACCTAATTGCTTTTCTACTACCTGGATAAGATGGCATAGGCATACTGATAAATAAATAAGTAAAGTCTAGTGTATATTAATTTAGTCACATTCAAACAACTGAGGCTTGAATTACATTCTCTACTGGATTTACAGTTTCATTTGTACACTTTTTGTTTCTGATTAGTCTGTAAAAATTTATTCAGCTTTTCCGCAAAACGACGAATAATACAGTAAAGCCGAATCGCAGGGAGCCCCTGTAAAATAGGCTATCCAGAGGAAAGGGTGCCATTTAGGAACCAAGTTCGACACATTGAAAAAAATTAAAAAACGCTTTTTTTCAAATTAAATAGATGTTTTCTTTTAAACAATAACGAAAGATTTTTTTTTATCTGAAGTCATTTTTTAAATTAATTCTACATTAAGAGGTTAACTTTGTCGAGAGAATGTTAATGTATGCATTCAGTATGATTTATGATTATCTTCAAAAATATGGTCTATTTGTTTTTTCAATAATAAGTTCCTATAAATATTTGATAAGATGGGACTAGATGAGAACTGATTCTATTAAATATAACAATAATTGATAACTAATAATTAATAGTAAGTTTTATCAGTACCTGCTAGAAAGTTTTAGAGGATTAGTTGCTGTCTTATTTTCAATTCTTTTATGATCATTGGAAATAATAATTGGACGATCGTTGTAAATTGAGAAAGATTTACAACGATCGTCCAGATATTACATAAAATGTATCCTTAATAAGTTAAACCATATTAGAGTTATAATTGAGACTTTTGGGAATTCCATGTTTAGTTTTATAATATTGAGATGTATTATTTATTTCAGAGAACATCTAAGTAACCTATTGACTATTATTGGGATGTCTCTTATTACTGAAATTGTATAACTTTTCTTTAAATTTAGAAAAGAGATGAAATTAAATACACTATATTACATAAATTTAAAAAAAATGTTTGCTATCATTAAATTGTTCAGCTTCTGTTATTATCGAGTTAAAACTTCTATATTAGAAGTTTATAAATTAATTGAGTTATATGTAATAATTTTTAATGCGTTTACAAATATAGATATGATCACTATTGGGCGATAATTCATGATTCCATTTCTTCTCTTCTTATTTACAAAATAAATGGATAATATTCAGTGAAAAATAACTAAAAATATTCCACTAATCTATAAATGTTTATTTTATCAATTGTCTAATCTCTGTGTTTCAATAAATATGATTTAATATCACTAATATCAAGTCAGCAATATCAGTTATCTAACGAGAATAGAAATATCGCGTTATGGCTGTTAGGCTATAACTTTGTAGAATTGTAAAATATGAAATGTATGTCGGGTTCTGTCCCTCACAACCCGGATGTTCCATTGTGGACCCGGCTGAACACGATGGCCTGATAAAAATAAGTCCTTTTAGTGCTTACAAGTTGGAAGAAATAATAAAACTAAGAAAGCAGTTTTCAATATTATTTTCAAAATTGCCGATAAAAAAACCATTAGCTTTTAGTTAACAGCAAAATTATAATAAAGTATAATTACATAAAGTTTGATAATTGAGAATATATTGATCTTCAATGTCTAAAATTTTCATTTCTCATTGTATAAATAAAACTGATAATTTGCGTAAAATACGTGACAAACTTT